TTGTGAATAAAACTGCTCGAATGGTCGTTAGCTGATAAAATTGATCGACTAATACAAATACATTGGTAATAAAATTACATAATCGTAAAATTACACAGTTTTGGGTCTTGTTTATAAATAAATAATTATACTGACATTAATGAACTTGTAGTTTAAAGAATTTTGATCATTATGAGGTTCTTCAGCAACACTGAAATTTTATTATATTGAAAACTTATTTAAGTCGAATACATTGCACATAAATTTATGCAACTTAACTCAAGGCAAAATGTTCCTTACACCTAGTTTATTCTGGTTTTTAAAAAACAACCAAAACTTAACAATTATATGAAGTGTTATGATGATACTCTGCATGAATGTTGTTTCTTCAGAAGGCGACTCAATGGTTGCCCTTTGAATGCTTAAATATATTTGATATATTATTATTTTAATATTGATACATAATACCTAATTGTAGCAATGCTTTTAAGGGCTATTTTTACTATTTTCAATGTGAATTTAACTAATTGAAGCAGTACTTGTGAAAGCTGTGATCACTTGGAAATAAAACTTAAAAATTATATATACAACTATATAGTTGATTTTGATAAACCTGATTTAACTTGAGGTCTTCTGGCCATTTTTTTGAGTCTTCTGGTCGAATGACCTAAGATTTGCTGGAATCTTTTTTCCCAGATTTCAATGAACTTTTATGGCTTTAAATATATAATATCAGGCTCGCGTTTGCAATCTAAATCATTCAACCCTTTTCACATATACATCCATCCAACTCCATATAAATAATAAAGTAAAATAGTGCAATGACCACTAGATTAGCATATAGAAATTTTATTTCCTCGTGCATCGTATGTCGACATGCGTTTTCCGATTAAAATCAACCAATATCGAAACGGGGACAAATGATTTCTTATCGGTCAATATGCACATGATTTTTTTTCTAGAACATGAAATGACAAAGCAATAGACTTTGATATTATTTATTTTGATGTATCCATTTTACTATTATGTAGGGTAATGATAATAGGTACAATACAGCTAAAAATCTAATAATGGCACATATTATTTTAAAGCACATGAAATAGCCCTTGCTAAGGATTAATAGAATTGCTATAATAAGTTAAAATAACATCAGTATTAGAAAAATTCAAAAAAAATATTTCAATCATTTATAGATCCACTCAAAGGGTTGCTCTCTAAAAAAGCTACATTATTCATGAGAAGTTCACAAAACTTGATTACTGTTAAAAACTTGTTCTGAGATTTTTGCAATGCTAAAATATTGATCTGTGCTGATTTTTGTATCTGTTTTATCTAGGCACTACTTCTTATAGGACAACTTCTATTATGTATCCTAAATTTATTAATCGGCAATTACTAGACAGTTTTCGAAGAAAAGAGTATTTTCTTAGAACGTGTATGACCTTGTAGACTTGTCCAGTCATTTTTCTTTGTACGATAACATCAAATGCGAAGGAGCGGGAAATTGAAACCTTTGTTTGTTGATTTTTGGCATTGAAGATTTAATACAAAAGTTAGACCTTCAAGCCTTAGAATTAACAATATAATAAATGATTTGGTATATTAAGTTTAGTAAGTAGTTTTAGGGGTGTTCTTATACGTGAAAACATATATAAAATAACTTCTGACCTTAACATATTTGTTTGATACTAATCGAATTATTGTAATTGGTAAAAATATTTTAGTTGTGTGAGTTTAACGCCCAAAACAAGCCCGTTAAAGAGCACTAATTATTTTTTTATACAATCGTTCACATATCTTCATTGCCCTTAATTTATACCCGATATTTATATCTAAAAGTGAATAATAATAATTTACCTATTTATTACCTTTTCATTTATTTTTAGCCAGAAATTCTAATGTCTTATTTCTGCATAGGCGCCGTGTGGGTTTTACACCTGAAGCTGCTTGCGTTAAAGGGCACTCAATAAACCGCAGTCGGTTTTCGCATTATTTATGAGTTTATATTTCTGAGAACATTTAGATCTACGTTAAAGATTGAATACATTAGAAACTATTTTGCTGACATGCCACCTGCTAGAAGCTGTTACGTTAACCTACATAATTCAGAAAACCGTGGACAATAAAATATAACGTTTATAAGGTGGAAGGCATTAGGTCAGTAATATTTTCGGCTACGTATTTATAATTTAATAAGAGATTCTATCATTAAAGTAAGATAAAGACAAATTACGCAATTAACCTGAATTAGAGTTTGTCTGAAAGGAAAAGATATTGGAAAACAAATGTGAAAATAATTGTGGTTATAGATTATATACATATATATTCAAACTTGGTTTAGAAGCCAAAAATGTGATTTAAATTGAAAGACGTAACGCTATTATTAATAATTTAATGCAAACAAAAGTACAAGATCGCTCCACCGCGATTGTCTGGCCTTTTATAAAATATTTAAATTAAATGAAAAATTTCTCAAGGTGTTTATTATTCTAATTATTTTATCCAGATATAGCGCGACATTTAATATGTATCATTTATATAAAAAACTGCATTTTTATTTCTATTTATGACATTTTTACTTGCAGTATCCATGTACCGTTGTAACTCTAATTTACAGTTATGTCAATAACAAATTTTCTACACGTGACGATTACCAAATTCTAAAAATAAGTTAATGGAATTCTATGCATGAAATATATCTATCATTTTCCACCCTTATAATAATTCTTGCATGCCATCGTGGTATCTGCATTGTAAGCTCTTCAGATCGAATTTTCTGAATCAATTTTGCATTGGCTTCTGGTCAACTATTAAATGAAAAGTAATCGATGGGGTTTTTGCATGACGTCACCAGGTTGCTATGTTTTTCTTTTTAGACGAGTGACCTGACTTCACGCGTTTTCTCCCCTTTGGCGCATTGGCGCACCCCTGGGTTATTAATTTATGATAAGTAGTAAAATTATAGGTGGTTTCATGACTTTTATAGTATTATAACCCTTTTGAGGTAAAAATTAACACATAATATTTATGGTTGGTGAATAATTCACATAGTATTTTGAAGGTGGGGGATATGAATTCGTATGGAAATATATAGGTAATACGACAAGGGTACATTGAAATAATCACTCGTGACATGTTTCTGAGTTCTCAAATCTTCATGAATGTTTCAAGATTACTTAAACAATTTCGCGTTGATATTTTACTTATATCTAAATGATATAATTATGAATATTATTTCTATAATAGTTTTACAATTTTCATTTATTATTACCTATGTAATTATCTCCATAAAGGTGAACATGGTAACGGCGCTAATGTTACACATGTCGTGCATAATGATGTTAACAACCCGCATTTGCGTTACGGCGTCTCACAATGAACCAAAGTTCAATATATGGAGCCGAAGTTTAGTACAAACACATAGAAAATATTTTAACCCACTCGTATATCGACTCATGTAGACAGACAGCTGGAAAAATAATAAAAATTGGTAATGCCAACTTTTATTGGTACACGATTCAATGTAGTTCATATTCCATTTGAAAAATATTTGGTAAGATTATGGACTCTATCATCCTACCAAATATTATTAAAATCGTCAAATAAATGTTTTTTATCTTTGCCAAAACCTAATCGGCTTGATTCCCAAATGATATTGTTCGAAGGGTAAAAACCCTTCAAAATCGATGCAAGATTTAACGTTGTATATATGTGGGAATATGAATTACATTTTATCCCGACGTTTTGTAATCTCTAATTTTAAACAAATTTTTATTTTATAAAGATATGCATATATTTATGGATATTATCATAAATTATAACTGCAATAATAAGCTTGAACAATCACCATGGAGAAGTATAAAAGTATTGGACAACTCTTCCATAACAATTGGATGGTAATAATGAATGGTAGTCAGCCCGAAGGCAGGCTCATGGTGTGAGAGTCACCCCGAACAAATGATTCCCTTAACCTTTTTTTCATGTATTTTTCTCTCCAAACTTCTGTTTCCATGTATTGGAAGGTTTATAATTTTATTTCCGATCACTGATTTACAATTTTGTCTCCTGGTTACTAAAAGGTGACCAACTCCAACTTTTATTTTAATACATGAATCCAAATACAAAGAAGGCTTTTATCGCGCGAAAATACCTGACAGAAACACCACTCTGCATACAAACGTTAGTGAGCAATCAGACACCAGACACAACACACGTGTTTTTCGTTAATTATTGAAAATCTCTAAAATAATAATGATAAAAAATTAGAAAAATTATGTAAATAATTAATTAATAATATTGGTAAATAATCTGTGATTAAAGCATATTTTTTTGGTAAAAACAGGACTTGATCGTGGTGTTTGGCTATTAAAATTTATAGTGAATTTTTACAACAGTTACTGTTTTATAAATTAATATTAAATAAAATAAAAAATTTTGAATGCATAACTAATATTGAAATCTTTTACAATAATTATTAATGAAGTTTTTACATTAATTATTAAAAAAATAATTATAAATAAAATATATAATTTTAAATGCATAACTAATAGCAACAGACTACGTCAATAATATACTTTAATTATAATATTTTTTAAATTAAGAATAAACTATATAATTTTTAGTGCATAAACAAAAATAACAAAATTTTACAATATTATAATTAAATCATAATTATAACATTTTTTAAATTAAAAATAAAATAAATAATTTTGAATGCATATGCACCAATAACTAATATTAAATTAAAATTCATGAATATTGTGAAGTAAATTTTTTTTATTTGTTATTATTAAATATGTAATAGTGTAAAAACAATTATAGTCAAAAATTATTTAATAATTGCTTTAAATAATGAAATTAAATTAAAAAAAAAATTAATTAAATAAAGTGCTAGAAGAATTAGGATTATACACATTATGATAAGAACAAATATTCTAACATAAACACCAAAATAAAGTTTGTAACTATTTTTTAGACTATATTAATATTTCAAACTTTATTTAATATAATTATAATATGCAATGGTGTTTCAATTATGTGGTTTGTCTCTCTACGGACAAGGTGACCAGAATAATAATCCTGATAAAGTTGCCGACCTGAAACGGGCTCTGCACCAGGATGGAACGCATCCTGATCTGTTTGAACTTCCACCAGAAAATGGAACTACTAAATTGAAAATAGAAGATATGGATAATGAAATCGAAACTGAAACAAACTTTGTGAAAACTCAAAATTTATTAAATAGTGATAATAAAAATGTTATTGAAGGTTCAAAAAAATGTGATTTGATTACCAAACATGCTTGGATTAAAAATGATTTCAATTGGGCAAAATGTAAATCTGCCAAATTTTTTGATAAATCTTCAACTGTGATCGATACGAATGGTTTTATACAAAATTATCCAGAACCTCAAAAGGCCTGGTCGGATCTTGATGACAAAAAACAAGTATTAGGCAATGAAGTAGAAGAAGATGAAAATTGTTGCTGGATGTGTCTTTTTGGACAAAAAAATAGGAAAAATGTTGTCCACTGTTCACCGTTGCTGAACGAAGAATCTATTGAAGAAACCGTCATAACACAAATGTGGGTCGATGTATATCAATTATTCAAATAGCACGTTTATGTCGTAAGAGACATTCTCATAGTTATAGAGAAATTTGTATAGAAACTAGATTATTATTTTATCAAAACGATATTTCAATTACTATAATTACTACGGCGTTTTGGGTAAAGAATAAGCATTGGCTAAAAACCTTTTCTTTATATATATTCCACTTTTCTAAATTGGTGATACCTATATATTTTTTATTTAAATCCAATGTTTTATTAGGTATATATTTTTGTAATTTTTTCGACAGAAAACCAGCCGCCTTGCCATCACCAACGGTATCTTCAGAAGATGTTCTTCAAGAACATCTGAACATCCAACAGCGTCAACAAGAATTGCTGCTACAACTTCAACAAAAGCAGGCTCTCTTGGATAGAGTTACATATGGAAGGGAAACGCCATCTAAATTATTTGGTGAAATAGGTTTGCAGAATATCATTATTTTCTAGACAAACGGAAGTTACAGGACTCTATTTGTTTTATTTATTGAATATTAATATGTTGTTTAAATATGCAACAAATGCGCGGGTTTTCTGATAAAGTTTATCAGTATAACACTTTGCACTAACGGTAGAAACATAATAAATCACACTAAGAGGTGCTACTGGCGTTTAACCTGATCTTTATCAGTTTCTTGTGGTCATGTACATAGTTTATATTTTTTTATCAATATATTTATATTTGACTATCAATAAAATAACCAGTATATTATTTTAATTTAATACTTCGAGTTATTTAAAATATTAAATTGATTAAGTATTTTTTCTTCTTCAGATGGCTCCAGATTTGTGTCACGTAGTGTTAGTTCAGCACCAAGCAATCAGAGAGAATTATTGGACCATCAAGGAGCGATAAGTCATGAAACCCAAAACGATTCTTCGACCCAAATTCTACGACCAGCTTCCACCCAAACAACTAAAAGTTTTCTGCAAACCAGAGATGAAGAAACGCTAACGAATATTTCAAATTTTGCTGATAGTATCTCAAAAGGTATGTAACTAATTGTTATATACCGTTATATCTAATGACTGTAGCCAATCACAATTAATTTATTTATATTTATGTTTATTTTTGTCTACATTGTATATCGTATCTAATTATTTGTAGATCATGGGGACTCATCGAGTGTCAATAAATCACCACAAAAGTTACAAGATTCTCCTGTTTTATCAGCGATGGCAGCAGTCTCCGCGGTCTACTGTGGGAAAAATGGTAAAATCTAAGTTACATAGATTTTTATTATAAAATTTAATTATTTAACACATGATTTTCATTCTTTTTAATATTTTTTTGCAGGTGCATCATCCGAAAACTCGTCTCCCAATAATTCGCGCCCTGATAGTCCGATAGCAATAAAAGAGTCTCCATATCAAACACCAGAGAGGAGAATACCTCGTCTAATACCAGTAGTTCGACAAAATAATGATTATGTTGCTCGAATTGAAACAAATGGTTATCAAACACCATCGTCCAGGTCTAAAAGCAGACAAGATGGTAAATGCCTAGTATCAATTTTATACAAATAAAACGAATTCGATGAATATCTCTTGGTAAGGCATGTTAATTGATTTTGAAATAATTTTTATTTACTTTTAGATGTTAAAACCCCAACCAGAACTCCTTCACCAAAACAAAATATTTCTCTACCGCCGACTCCGAAAAAAACTAACAAATCTTTACCAAACACTCCTAAGAGTTCTATTCCGTCCAGAGCAGGAACACCTCAGCGTAGTACGATGTCGCAAGTTTTGACACCAGTACATGATTCCTCAAAAGATTTTACAAGTCGTCTCGTTTCATACCAGGGATCGCCGGATAGAAAGGATACTAATTCATATAATTCCAGGGATCAAGATGTTCCTTTTATTGTGAAAGCACATCCAAAACGATTTATGGATGAGAATGAGTTTGAAGTAACGACGTCTGATTTAGCAAATGCAGTAAGTTGAAGATACACTTTATGTAAACACCGAAATCTATTATTATCTGTCTTTTTTCGTGTTTCAGTCATCAATAACCGATGACACACCACGTGAAGGTGTACCATCAATGCTGAGAAAACCTATGTATCTTACACGTGGTAAACGTGACCAGGAAATTAAGCCACCTCAACGACGTATTCCGCGTACTAGCAGTAAACTAAATTCGATTTACAGCACTTCAGCTAATAGAAATTCTACTAATAATTTGATAACGCCATTTGATAATGTGAAAGAAGGACTCTCTAAAACCATAAAAGATTTAGAATGTAATGACTGGGAGAAAAATGTATCAGCATTTAAAGGATTGATTAGACTACTGCGATACCATAACGATGTTGTAGAAAACTCTTTGCATACTTTAGCAGCACTTATGGCCAAGCATATTTTGAACTTGAGATCACAGGTAGGTTTATCATAAATATGATTACTAAGTAGATAATATTATTATTATGTTATAATTTTAGGTTTCCAGAGCTGCATGCCAAGCAGCTGGTGAACTATTTACAGTACCTCGTCGTGGCTTAGATGCAGAACTTGATGATATAACTCAACCTCTTCTGCATCGAACAGCGGATACAAACCGTTTTTTAAGAGCAGATGCTGATGCTGCCTTAGACGTCATGTGTGATCGGCTGGCGCCTCATCGAGTTGTTTTTGTAGCCACTGGTAAAAGCGCTTCTCATGCCAGTGCTTTGGTCAGGGGAACTTGCGCCCGTCTTTTAGCAAGATTGGTACAGCGAGTTGGGAAAGACAAGATATTTTCGCTGAACAAGGAACATAGGTAAAGATAATAAATACATATTTCATTACTACCATTGCTTGAGACTGGTATCATATATTAAAGTAATTATTTTTAACAGGGATCGAGTCCTAATCACCGGAGCAAAGTTTTTGCAAGAGGGCAGCCTGGAGACCCGAAATTATGCAAAACAACTGTTTCAAGAATTAACCAAACATGAAAATTTCTCGAAAACAATTGTAGAAGTCTTACCTACAAGAACTATGCGTAATATAGAAAAAACTCTCAGAAGTATTCACTGATTTAAATTATAAATTTTGTTACTTAGAATAAAATGTTTTGTATATATAAAAATTGTAATGTATATTTATACTAAGCTACTTTAAATGACTAAAAAATGTTATGTTATCTATATTACATCATTTAATAAATAGTTGATCAATATGGTAATATTTCTTGTATCAATTTTATACTTACTGATTTTTATTTAGTAATGTATAGCATATTTTATTATTTATAATGTATATTTTAAGTTTAATGCTAATTTTTAATAAATTTTGCAATTGTTTTTTGTAGATGTGCCTGCCATCTATGTGAATTTGACAAACTAATCTTTTGTTTCCAATCCAAGTGATGTTTTTATCTATGGTTGTCTTTGACACTTTATTGAAATACGCATCCTCCATGTTTGTTTGATAACTTATATTAGAAAATTTTAATAATATTTTATTAAAGACAGAAAATCTACAAATAAGTCGCGATAAATTTAAGTTTAATACGAAGTATAAATTTTAATACTAATATTTTAACATGGGTGATAACGACGAACGTACTATTTGGTGCGGAAATTTAAATGAAAAGGTTACTGAAGCTATACTTTACGAATTATTTCTACAGGTATATATTTTAAATGATGTAAATGTTTTACTCACTGATAATATTTAAAATTAATGAATTTAACGTAGGTAGGACCTTTGGAGCGCGTTCGTATACCTCCTAGTCGAAATGGCAGGGGTGGGAATTACGGTTTTATTACCTTTAGTCATTCTTGTTCGGTTGATTATGCCTTAAATGTTCTTGATGGTACATGTTTGTATGGACAAAAATTAAATATGAAACCTCGTAAGCCATTGGCTTATAAATGTGATGACCCATTCGCTACAAGTCGGGATGATTTTATAAGGGGAGTTGACTTATATAGGGGAACTAATAATTCAACATTTAATAGCCCCTTAGCAAATCCTTATAATCATAGCGGATATATAGATAAAAGCATGTTACCCACTTCAGGAAGCAATAAAAGGACATACGATCAATTCTCACCTTCATATAATAGTTTTGATGACGATAAAGTAAAATCTGTTATTAATCAGGTCTCTCCTGTGCCTGGTTTAAATTATGCTGCTTTTATGAATTTGGGACAACAAATGTTCGCTATGAGTCAAATGTTACCATCACCATTGCTAAATTCAGTTCAAAACTCTTATTATGGTACACCAGTGCAACAATTTGAACAAAATAATTCTAATGGTCGAGATTCTTATAGATCAAATAATAGACAACGTCACAGGTCAAATCATCGTAGAAGTAATGAAGGACGCAATAGAAGACACTAAAGATATTTAACAAAGGCAATAAAAGAATTAAATACAATTTAACATAATATTTAAATGTTTTATGGTAAAATCAATTTACACAGTAAAGTATAAACATAATCAGTGAAGTACAAATTTTATTAAGAAAATTATCTATGTACAAATTTTTAAATAATCCTTAATATTTAAGTTTACTTATCAACTGCTGTTGGGTAATACAATTCCCTTAGAGTCTGCGCATCCTAGTTCTGAAGGCCTTCTATGCTCGATGGCGTTGATTGCAACAACATAGTGTGCTTTGACATACTTATACATATTCAACATGAACATGCAGCTCAAAATATAAATGACTATTATCACAATTTTTACTTCTAATATCATTTGTTCTGAATACAACATATATAACACATAAATAGTTCCCCCGAATCCTCGAATTAAAATAAATGTTGACATAAACATAACTTCTACCATAGAGTATACTTTAGTTCCCATGAATCCATAGGTTCGGATAAACCTAAAAAAAAATATCTATAAATATGTATGACTAAGCAAAACTATAAAATTGTAAATATAGTTTTGATAGTGTAATTTAAAATCTTGTACAGCAATTACAAATTATAAATATAATTAGAATTAAATTTTATTATAAATTTTATAAGACATTTTATAATTATCAATAGCCATTAAATCTTTTTTTATAAAAACACTTAATTAAAAAATATAGATAATATTATTTAGTATCAAATAAAATTATTCATCTTAATAAATTCATTCATTAAATTTTACTCTAAATTGTTGTAGATAGTTTTATATGTATTTATTTTGAAGGCTAATATTGTAAATGACTTCTTTTTTTTTTTGTCAATTTTGAAAGTAATTAAAATACTGCTCTAACAATAAATTCTAAATAAAATGTTTATTACATATGCAATTTCATACTAATGAAGAATCATTTTTTACCTGTAAGCACGTACAAATATTAAATATCTAACTAAGCTCAGTATATTACATTTTTATTATTTTAAATGACTGAATATTCAAAAAATCACCATCGTGCTTGTAAAAGAGGGTTCGTAAACTCCATTGCTCCAAGACCACAGCAAGCTGTTGGCACCCAAGGTGTTAAATATAACATTCTTGCAAGCGCATAAACAGAATAAATGTGGTGAATTATCATTAATTTGGTTTCTGTTTGATACCAAAGACACCATATTAGATCAAATGCAAAGTATCCCCAGCTATTCACGAGCACAAAATTGGGCAGGATTGATAATTCTGGAATAAAATCATATACAGTTTGTTATAAAATCAGTAACAGTAACAATAAAATATCATATGATGTACACAATACATATACACATATATATAATAGCTAGGTGTAAGTGGCATTTTGCCTTAACTGCTAATTATAAAGGAATCGATCTGAATCTCAATATGAAAAAAATCTGGGTAGCAAAACATGTTTGCATCTCATAACAGGTGTATTACAAAATGCCCATATATCCATCAGGAGCAACTTTTGCAATTTAAAATAAGTTATTGAGATAACCTGATGTTTTACTACAATCCATACCTTCTATTTTATCTTCCATTTTCATTTTACAAACATAAGATCCCATGGCTGTAGTCATTAGGCCATGTATTAAAGTTACAACCCTTGTGCAGAATTCTGGAGTACGATTTAATGAGGCGATTGTTATAAAGTAAAGTGTAGACCATGATATTAATGAGAATATTAAAGCAGTTGCAGATTGTAATTCAAGACTTTCAAAATTTGATTCAGAAAAGGGCCCTCCAATTTTTTTAGTACCAGTTTTTAATGCAAAATCAGAGAGGTTTTTGGAATAATCCTCTTCAGATAAGCTTTCGTATGTCGAATCCATAATGGATAGTGTAGTAGAAAATTGACTTTAGAAATATGCTTTTGTTTTGTTTTACTTATTAATTCTGATATAAAAATATTTAATTTTGCAGAATGGAAAAACAAATGTGTTAATTTGAATGTAACAGTGGTGCCACTTGAAAATATTTGAGGTTGGTGAAACTGTAAAATTGATGTCAAACAAAAACACGAACATATGAATTTGACGGCTGTCGATTCAAAGTTGTTTACTAGGTTTTCTAGTTAATTATGACTAAAAGTTGTGAATAAGTTATTTTATTTCTAACGAAAATTGTATGTGTATTTAAAGCACTATATGTGGTGAGACTAAAAACTGTCATAATGACGCCAAAGAAAAAGGTTAGTACAGTTTTTTATGAAAGGTTATGTTGATTGAGTTATACGCTCATATTAATATGTACATATTACATTATCTCAATTTTATTATAATTTAATATCCTTTCATTTAGGATGCAAGTAATACAGAATCGAGCACAGCATCAAGCACTGATTCAACTTCATCCAGTAGTTCAAGTAGTTCGGGTTCTGGATCCAGTAGCAGCGATAGTGATTCTTCTACCTCCCAAGAGGATTCTCGACCAACAACCTCTACACAGAATAAGAAACCAACACCACGCAGAAGTACAGATTCTGCCTCTACTAAATCGAATGTTACTAAAAATGAACCAGAAAAATCTGTGAACAAGCAAACGAAAAATGAAAAAACTCCACAAAAGGCTCCTGTTAAAAGCAAGCCATCAATTTATTCCAGTGAGGATGATACTCCCAGTAAACAAAACAAAACAAATGTTACAACTACTGCGAAACGAAAAGCACCGGCTGCAAAGACAAAATCTGGTGCTGCTGCTCCTAAACCAAAACCTACTATCCTTAAATCTGGTGAAGTTATTAATAAACAAAATCCAACACGAAAAATAAATGATAAACCCCATGTAACAACAAGTAGTGATAAAAATAAGAAAAAAAGTATTTTTTCACCAGATAATTCTTCAGATTCTGAAGATAATGCATCTCCTAACAAATCACAAACTAAGTCTACAAATTCGAAAACAACACCAGGTAATCGCACAAAAGAAAAGGCTGGGGCTACGAAATCAAAACCTACTGCAACGAAACCTAAACCTCCTGCTAAACCTAGTTCAAATACAAAGACAACTAGTAAGGCACCAATTCCAAAACCCCGAAGAAATTCTACCCGAACAAATTCTAAAGTAAGTACAAATCTGGTTAATACACTCTTCTTAATAATAAAATTATATTTTAAAAAATGTATGTAAACAAATTATTCATTTAGACAAAAAGTAGAGAGTCTTCAGTGAGTAGCGCGGCTTCAAAATCAGAATCATCTTCTGATTCTGATAGTAGTAGTGCTACAAATGATGATGCTAATAATAGAAATAATAACGCTCAATCAGATACAACTGAATCTAGTGAAGCATCTATACCAGTACCACCGCCAACTAAAAAACCTGCCAGAAAAAATCAATTATCTAAAACTACATCAAGCAGTTCAATTACAACAAGCAATAAAAGTAATAGCAACAACAAAGTACCTGCTTCAGAATCAGATGACTCAAAAAGAGCATCGGTAACTAGAAAATTAACTAGAAGTTCAAGCACTAGAAAATCCAAACATCTAACAGGTTAAAATCATCATAAAATATTATCTTTTGTATATAAGATCATAAAATTTTCTCTTATCTTGTTATTTTTAAATTAGGTAAAGCACCATCAGATACAGAGTCTGATGGGTGTGATTCTGGAAAACGATCAGCATCTAAGAGTCCAGTAAAAAGATCTAGTGTCCCAGCCAAAGCATCAGGAAAAAATAAACGTGCCATTGTGGGTGCACAAGCAGCTGGGAATAAACGCAGAGTGTCCTTACCACCAGAAGAACGAAAATGTCCTCTTGAGGGTTGTGACAGTATGGGCCACTTAGGTATGATGATATATTGCAATTGTACTCTTCTATTTATTAATCCATTGTGAATTCATATTTTAAAATTTATTGATAGGAGGTACATATGAAAAGCATTTCACTATAGAAGCTTGTCCTTTATATCATAATACGACAATGGCACAATGTAAATCACAATTGCCAGAATGGAAAAAGCATGATGAAGAGAGGGTAAAAGCTGTAGCTCTCCTTGATAAAGAAAGAAAAGGACTGACTCCAGAGCAAAAACAATATCAAATGAAGATAAAAGTATGTATAACTCTTGAATCCTTAATAAGAATTAATTTTTATTACTGAACAGATTTGCTCAATATATGTTTCATTTTTTTTTAAGGATATCAGATCGAAATTTAAACCTACAAGCGAATCTAAGTCAGCTGTTGTTGATAAGGATCGTGAACCTTCCTTGGCAGGTGTTGCAAGTGATTATGATCTGAAATTATTCAAAGAGGCTCAGGCATTAGCCAGTGTTGCTATTGAAAATGAACTTAAGGAATTACCAGTCAGTAGAGGCACTAGGTATAATATGATACTTAATATCTTACTTTTATAAACATACTCTTGTCAATATCTTAACAAATGCTTGTGCATTATTTTTCAAGGTTTGTTTCAATGGGTAAATATTGCATGGAAGTATGGTATCAAAGTCCATATCCAGAAGATGTAGCACGTTTACCAAAATTATATTTATGTGAATTTTGTCTGCGCTATCAAAAATCTAGTGTGGGAATGACCAGACATGCAGCTAAGTGCGTTTGGAGACACCCTCCTGGTGAAGAAGTGAGTTAAAATACTGATATTAAAAAAATAATAAAAAAATCAGTATTTACAATGTATTTTTTCTCTCATAGGTGTATCGTAAAAACCGTCTTGGTGTTTGGCAAGTTGATGGAAAAAGGCACAAGCAATATTGTCAGCATCTATGTCTACTTGCCAAATTTTTTCTTGATCATAAAACATTGTATTATGATGTGGAACCGTTTCTATTTTATGTGATGACTTTGACTGATAGTGAAGGTGCACATACGGTTGGCTACTTCAGCAAGGTAAGAGATAATTTTTAATAAATCTTGAAAAATTGTCATTTAAAGAAATATTATATAAAGATCATTTATATTTTGATTCGAGTAGAAATAGTCAACTAAATGCTGATCCAAATGTATCATAAAGCAACAGTTTTAAATATGCTAATCTTTGTTGTTCTGGATATCTTCATATCCATTATTCACTATGTTTACTATATTAGCTGAATCATGTGGAACCAAACTTTTAAGTTCTGTTATATTAGAAGGTTTTCTGAATGATCTCAGCTTAGACATTAGTTCTTACCTTCGTAAATTTAAAATTTGGACATGATGATGCTCTGCTTTTTATTATTATTATATTATTAAACCTATTACAATTTTATTTGGCAACCCTGTTCCCGGCCTACCCACGCCTTTTCGCAGCAAATCATTCCGTTTCGTTTTATTTTGAGCGAAAGAAAGAGAACGACATAGTCGCGTTGGGGAAGGTCAGGTCAACGACCCTCATGCTACTTTGTGCGCCAGGGGGTCAGTCTGGTAACACCATACCCTCGATTCGAAAATTCGCGAGCGCCCCCTTTTTGAGTTCGAAATATATATACACATACCCTCATCTCATTCCAACTGTGCTCTAATATTAACAGCCAGCCAACAGAAACGAATTAATACGAATATAATAGGATGGAGTAGTTTATTTACAGTAGTTTCTTAAATTTGCAAAGTAGTTATTGTAATTAATACAATGTTTCAAATGGCTTACGCGCAAATATTGCTGAAATTCGATGAATTAATAAAATATTTATATAGTATAATATTTTTGTTATATGAGTTATGTAATCAGAACTCAATAGTCCTATAAACTTGTTGATATGGCATCTTGATGGCTTTATAGATGGCAACCCAATGGTTGGCCGATCCCTTTTTATTATTAGAATAACTCTAATACTGATGGCTTTTTGTCGAATGCAGCAATGTCAGTAAAGGCATTTTTACTCGGAATCATATGGGTATTTATATTTTCAAGTACAAACGGATGTCGCACTGCTTGATATTAGGCTTTACGAGGCAGTTTTGAAACTGAAGCTTCTTATTGAAAGCTCATAGCTCTAGCCACTAATTCACGGGGAAACTTGAATCTATTTTTGTCTTTCTTCATTAGTTATCAAATAAGCAGTAAAGACGCGAAGAAATATAACGAAGACTAAATACTTCACTTTTAGTCAAGATAATAATACTTCAAGGAATTTGTTGTTTCTAGTATTTGCCAATTAATCGTCTTCTCTTACAAATGAATATTCATTTGTCATTATAAGATGGTTCAAGTCAGCTCAAGATCATATGAATGTTTTACAAGAATGAAATTATTATTATGTTGCTTAAACACTAAACATAAATAATATACAAAAAAATATTATTAGAGCGAACGTTTGCTAAATTTTCAAATTCAAGTTATTTTTTAAAAACCTTATCCTTTAAAATGCCCATACCGTTTTTTAATTCATTTCCAAAGCTGTTCATATGTCTGAAGGGTCTCGATTCTCTCGATTCTCTCGATGCATCAGTAGGTGTCTTGTATTTTCTCGTTGATTGTGTTTTGAATCGTCGTAGTGTGCAAGGGAAGGGATCCCAGACGTCTGGCTCTTGGTCTCGCGATAGTAGTCGAAAAGCGGGAGCTCGCTCCGCCTCTCTCCAGGACTCCTGATCTGTCTGTCTTCGCTTATAGACTGCGGGCTGACAAATGCTTTTTAAACACCACGACGTGCATGTGCTTATTCTTCTCAGATTATATTTTAAATGATAAAAGACTTATGATATGTTCTGCAATCAGATCACGTAATATATTTATGTTTCAATCAATCACATCTCATATTTCAATTCGTGGGGCGAGAATAGATTGCTTTGGTTATTTTATGTCGATATTTGGTTTAAAAGTTTTCGACTATAAACAAGGGAACATCATGTTTAAATGTATTTATTGGACATTGCTGGAGACTTCTGCAATTACTAGAGCATCTTGTTGTCATGTTGCCAAAAGGCTACGAATTTTGTCGCTACGTTTTCAAACTCTTCCTGATCTCTTTCTCGTTATTATTTAATAACAAAATACATACTTGCCACAAGGCAAAATTTTCCTTACACCTAATTTTTATGATCAAATCATCTTTTATATGCCTATATTATTTAAAGGGTTTTGTTTTGACTGTCAACTCCATCACCAAGCGAGTTTCATCCCAGAGGAGTAAACTTGGATTGCGCCTGCTAGTTGATTTTTTGTTTATGAATTTCAAATATCAATGATTGACCTTTCAAAATGCATCTATTTTATGTTTGGGAAATTGCACGAAATAAAAAATAGTTTTAATGTGAAGGAAACGATAGGAGTTTATCTTTGAATTACGCGCGTCGTCTCCAATCTCCATTGTCTGGTGCTCGGCTCTGCCTCTTTCCGGTAGAACGCCGTTTCGGAAATTCCATAAATACCGCAGCAGACATTCACTCATACGGATACATTAAGATCGCCATACCTCACGATTAGCCTTGTGCTTGGATGCACTCCTATATTTTCGCTTGTTTTTTTTCTCTATAGTCACTTTATTTATCTTGTTCACTTACTGTGCTCGATTTAAGGATAATTCGTGGCGCACGTTATTGGACTACGATAAAAGATCGATGTAGAACGCATAAACTTTTGGAAAGATGACCATCATCAATGCAGGTGCATTTAAAACATAAAAATATTATTTCGTATAACACATTAAGATATATGTCTGTATAGTATTATTCTTAAACGTGCTATTATGTAATCAGAATTCAAATCTAAATTTAGTCTATTTTCATTAGTCACCAAATAAGTAGTAAAAGCACGAAAAAAATAATAAAAGAAATTTAAAAAAATGATTTAAGTGTTGGAAAAAATAAAATGTAAAGTCATATATTGACCCATGAAATTTGTTGTTTTGACTATTTTATTATATAGTACTTCCCAAGACTATTTTCACTATTAGATTTTTTTAAAATAAAAACAAATATTCAATATAAATAGATTAACTATTTGCCAACTAAATCAAGGGTAAAAATTCGAGCATAAAAGGTCATAGGGAAGAATAGAAGAAGAATAGCTGTTAAAAATCAGATTTTTTCTTTTTTTATTTCCATATAATTACAATCTGCCTGGCATTCAGTAATTTTTATGGTAAATGTTTAAATATGAGAGTAATAATAATTATTTGCTAAAACTAGAGGGTTAGCTTTTTTGAGTGTTTTAGGTATATTTGATGAAGGCAAATCTTTGGCGAGTAAAAATAAGAATAATAAAAAAATTGTTGGTATTGTTTATCTCATTTTTACATTATATTTACAAACAAATTAAATTAGATAAATTTCCAACAGATCTATTTAACGTTACACAATATTTCATTCATTTCATATCATTCCTCTTTTCAAGTTCTTACGTTGTTATGACTCGACAAAAGAAACTGTGGAATAATGACTAATCTTATTACGTCAAATTATATATATTTTAATACTTATTTTTTACGACGTCGCAAACTACTACTTTAGTCCCCTGTATTCTTAAAAAACATTGATACACCTGTATTTCCTCTCATGAATGGCAGTTTTTCAACATGTCGATGCATTGGCCATGTACTCTGGAAGTAAAACATGAGTTGAAGAGATGAATCACACTGATGAATCGCTTCGGATAAAAAACAACTATTTTTAGGTTTTAGATTTTTTTAAACTGATTACTGATCCACGGTTGTTAATATCTATATCTTTACCTGTATTTACTATAAAGGGCGATTTACAAGATTTTCGATTCCCGAGATTCGATTTTCTATATTGATATTAGGACTTGCTAAATTAGGTTCTTAAGGTTTTTATTACAACTTTTCATTTGAATTGTGAATATTCTAATTTATTTTCCTTATTGATGTAGTGGTGGGATATTAATTTTATTACACTTGCAATTGGCATTTAACGACGTTGATTAAATTGTATTTCAGTAGCAAACTGCGCGAATGCGTTAGGCACACATCCAGTAGCCATGATTGATGGTGTCGACGATGTCTGAGGGCTTTGATAAGACATACCTCTACCTACCTAAGTTTCCTCTGTTTTTACGAGTGCCTCGAGTTTATTGTTCGCGTTCTGTAAGTTCTGTATTGCTATGTGTGTATGTAGAGTTTGTTCGTTTATTAATATTTATGGGTAACTGATTTGCGGTTACGCTACGTCGGGCTCTGAGGTCACCTTGGCGCCTCCGCCTTTAGTCGTATCACCGACATCGGGTATCAACTCTGGCAAACACGGCAGGAATAATTGATACATACCATCCCAGTAATAAAAATTCAAAAATTCAACATTTTCAGAAACTGGATCATTCAAATTTAATATTCACTCAGCTTCTTGAGACACCAATTTTAAGAAGACTTAAAAAAAACTTTCCAAAGATAATATTGAAGACCTTTAGCTCTACCACATAATTTGTAGAAAACTCCAATTGGAGTAATTCTCCAATTATCGATATAATTCGATTTATCACATTAATTTACATGTGTGTTTGTAAGTGTGTGAGTGAATGATATAAGTCAAATAGCTCATAGGATTGTACTGTATTCTGATTGCTGTATTGAAAAATAAAATAAAAAAATAAAAAGTTTCATCTAATTGGTTACTAAAGATATGAGTAGATTCACAATAATTAACTTGCAGAAGGACAAGTTGTTTTCGCAAGCAACTCTGATTTGCTAATTTCTTTTCTCGAAATTTAGAAGCGTTCTGACTTGTTTGATACCGAAATTGGCAAAAGCATGTGTTTGTGAGGCCTTTCGAAGACATTTTTTCAAAAACGATCCTACCTATTTCAAAATTACTTGATAAGGACTTGTATGCATTATTTCTGCACAACTATAGGCTGAACCGTTTCTTTATAATTTTCAGATGAGTATACATTTTTTGGTCAACGTTTTATCAAAACTTCCTGAACCGGTTTCGAAAATTCAAATGCTGTTCGATAGTTGAGGTAACGTTTCAGTAAAGATCAGTTGAGCCGTTTCTTCGTAATTAATTGTTGAAAAAAATAGTTCACGTTTTTAATGAAATCCTGCATCCTGAAGTACAAGACCTACGAGAAGTATTTTAATTATCAAAATTTAGGGGCCGATTCTGCCGTATAATAGACCAATGTTATGGCGAGGTTATGTTACGCAGCGTTTCTCAAATAAAATAGTACTAAAAACTGTGAAAGTGCTATATATTTATTGTGCACTCAGGCGTAATATAAAGTAAATTTAAATTGTAGTTGAACCTTCTGCTCTTATAAATAGATTTTCAACACTAATTTTCATTCATTTGTGTTTATTTGCTAACTCTTCATCATAACTAGGCCAACTCTAAATTCAGATATAAAGCACACAGTTAAAAGGCAATCCATTGGGCTTCCTCTCAAAGCCATTTCAAATTCTACCTAATGGTAGCTAGTAATTCATATGAAAATAAAAAAAATCCAGCTCTTTGTTTAATTTCGAGACTAGACTTCACATCATGGATCTCTGTCATCTGTAATCTTCCAATTTAGTCGCGTCGGCGTGTAAACGTACCAAATAATTGTTTACATATATTAAAATCTTTTTCGGCGGGTAATAAAATATTTATTAGATACGCAATTAACTCCTGTAAAAAATAAAACAGTTTTATGATCGAACTGAAAATAAATAATATCGTAAATGTAATATATATTTGGTCTTGAAAATAGAAGTATAAACTTGTTATCTGAGGAGATATATCTTGAATGTTTTGATTGTGCATATTAATGCAATTAGTCTAATGGATGCATTTTGATAACACATAAAATTATTTAATTTTTGTGTAAATAAAAATTTAATTAACTCTCGTTCATTATTACAATGTTTCAATTACATATCAATACCGTATGATTATATGGATTACAAAACACTTCAATTATTCAATTTTATATCAATACACCATGTTTTATATCGTGCAAAACATTTCAGCACGAATATGTAACTGTATTTTATTCATCACTCATTCAACAATTGGTATTAAATTTATTATAGTTAGTTTATCTTCCACTCAACGTGTGCATAAAATTTAGAAACCAGTTTAAAGTTTTGATTTATGGCCTGCAAGAGTGTAACTATAATAAACTTGTTGTAAATGATTTTTTAATTGTGGGTAATAAATTAGTATTAGATGATGCGATTATGATAATATATTTGGACAATGAAATATTTAAGCATATTCAGTAATAATACTTTAAATACAAATAAAATTGTAGAAAGCATAGATTTTATTTTAATAATTGTTATAAATAAATCCATATTCGAGGATGGTCTGATTGGCACTGTACTCAACTAATTGCTTTTTAATTAGTAATTGAAACTAACATTGTTAAATTTTAGTTTTTTGAAAAATTGAATTTCATACTTTATATATATTATATATACACCATTTGTGTATATGTTACGGTAAATGTGCACTCTTGGTGAATGTGCACATTCACCGGTGAATGTGTACATTCCCCAAAACTCTAGGTTAACACTGGTCGATTCTTGTTCAAATTTTTATTAGTGGATACAGCACGTCTTCCATGATTAAATTCATTAATTTAATTTTAACTTTTTCAAGCATACGGTTATATAATAATAAATGTTTGTATTTTTTTGCAGGAAAAGAATTCTTTCCTGAATTATAACGTATCCTGTATTCTTACTTTACCTCCGTACCAGAGGCAAGGATATGGACGACTTCTCATTGATTTCAGTAAGTACACAATAATTAATTTTGGAAATATTTATTTTATATCGCACTGGTCAGCATAGTTGTTAAAAAAAAAACAAACGAGCGAAATATAATTTCTTCATGCTATATCAATAATCAATATCATTAAATAATATTGATCGATTCGTTATGTTTCTTAAGTTCTAATAATGAATTTTAAGCATAAAAAATAAATTAAATTTAATAACGATTCGATGAAGAATTATTTTTCAATTATTCGTGTCTGTTTATTATTCATTATTGTGATTGTGATGGATTGATGACTGTGGTCTTAAATCTTGTTCAGGCTTTATTTGATTTTCTCGCATTAATCGGATACGCACTGACAAATAGCAAGCCATACAAATACGAACAATCGCAGCGTAAATAACTGCAGACAATCATCGATTTGAATCCAGGCGAATTATTACATTGCTGTTTACTCTAGAGCAGCACCTATTTGGAAGTGTTTAGATACTGTAAAACGAATTTTAAATTGATACTTGATGTAATTTTATAAAGGGACCGAACAAAAAACAGCTGTAGTTATTGTGTTTTTAGAAGGGTTTATTTAAATTTTTGAATTTTTAACCTCCAACGGGTCAAAATTCACCTGCAGATGGTAAAAATGGTGAAATAACATAGATTGGCCTTCATATCAAGCGCAATGCTTTAGTATCTAATCGTGCCAAATAAAACAGATCACCCATACCAAATTTGAACAAAATAAGAGTGATTTCTTGAAGACATGTATCCTAGAATTGGCCCAAAAACGTAATACTAAAAATTCTAGGCGACATAATCTATATGTACCTAATTGTCTTGTTTCATTTTCGTTTGTTTTTATTTATGCAAGTTTGCAGTAAACTTTTCAGAGAATCCTATAATTCAAAAATATTAATTAAAGATGTTTTTTTGCTGTGCTTCCTAACATTGTATCAAAATTGCTTCATATTATCTGTTTCCCCAATCCTCAATGAAATTATCCTGGAATGCCTTGATTTTATATCAAACAACAAGGCTATTGAGCTGCAAAGTTCTACCATTCTTCCTTTCCATTATTGATTTCGTTACATTCGTTCCATCCTCGCTGATTTTTGGCCTGAAATCGATATTGTCTGATCATCGATGGTATTCTTTCATCTCCAAGCGCAGCCAACGATCCGGCAGCGGGAACACACGCGTAGATATATCCTCGGCGCGCGTTACTATGATATGAGGTATGGGATGAAATCCGGGCGCGGTTTTCCGGGCTTTTCCGGGGATGGTGCAGACATAACCCTCTCCCACGGCAGAGTTCATTGACTTCTTGTAGTCAGACTGAGGTCATTGCCACAATGTAGCGTAGCGTCCGTAGTAATTTGCGAACTATGAACGTAAGGTGCGGACCTACGCAATGCACACCTGCTACACCGTTCGTTGTTGGAACTTATTTATGACTATGGGCTAAACTATGAACTATATTTTTGGCATGTTTTTTTCAATTTGTACGCGATACGTCACTATGTCAAATTTACAATTTATGGCCAATAAAAATTAACGATTAATAATATCGTTTATTAGATTTATATTCCATTATTATTTGCTTTCTTGATTTTGTTTTTGTTGGTTTTGATTGGCAAGCAAAAGAAACGAATGACAGAGATTTTAAATGGGTTGATATATTACCCATTTTACGACATCGTTTTGAAACGCATTATTGTATCAAATCCAATAAATCAAATTTTATTTTTACGGCAAATATTAAACATGGAGCAAAGATCAAAATCCAGCGTTGCGAATCGGTCAGTCATTTTAATCAGTCCAGGAATGCACCATCAATAATTAAAACGTCTGATGACGCATGCGCGTTCACCCTGCACAAGCCAAAGGCATTCCTGGTTTTATGGCCACATGTACGTCGTTTCATCATTATTTTATATGGATTTTACAGTCAGCAATCTGAGATATGTCGAATAATAAACTATAGTCTTTTTGCCACTCTTATTTTGATTCCAAGTAACAGGGATTTAGTTGATATAATTTGAGGATGAAATCAACTAATTTTAACGCCTTATTATTATAAAGAGCACTCATTTTGCGGTATCAAATTTTAAGGAGTTTTTTAAAAGCTCAAATATTAATTTTTTCATTCCAGTCAGATTAAATTTCTTAATCGTTTTATCCAGTTAATTGAAGTACTTGTGAAACCTGAATATTAAGGAAACTGTTGACGATTTGATGAACTATTCTTAGTAGTACATGAAAATTGATTAAAAATAATATTTTGTATAGGGTTTTATTTAAAATCTATTTTCTACGTCTGTTTAGCAGTTTGCCAAATAAATATGTGAATGCACCCCAGATCTCGTCCAGACGATTTTATCGATCCTACTCCTTTCGCATGTGTCCTTTTCACACAGCTGGCTTTTTGCTTTCTCTTTTGGTCAGGCGAACCTTCTTTTGCGATTTATTTCGAAAATAATGAAGATGACTAGGGCCTCTATTATTTGATGTTATTATCAACGCGAAATAATATGATCCTTTATAGATACCGAGCGAAATTTATATGTGGCAACCCGCACTGCATAATAATGATCTTTAGGATTTTCATTGCTTTTCAGAGGAAAACAGCATTTTGGTGATGAAGGGTTGTAATACATAGTTGTAGTTCATATTTACTTATTAGAACTTACTGATTAGGTAAATTTTATGCGTTGTATACGTTTATGTCTTTAAAAAATTGTCGTCGTCTGATCATCTGGTTGATGCGGACTTTCGCTTTGACTGATGCGGCCAGTTAACATTTTAGTAAAATATTTTGTTTATTTTCCAGATATATATTTTTTATTTTTTTCCCGCCTACGACTTATTTGCTACGAGTTTTTATATTGAAGTTTCAATCGTTTTCGCGATATAAGCGCCGTCTGACAGACAGTCTACGCATATAACCTTTGTTGACCTCACGTTTTTGTTGTGACTTTTTGCTATCTTAGATGTGTGTGGTTTGTTCTGCGATTTATTCTGTCTGGGTATCACCGAAACCAAATTAGATGATTGCCTGCAATATATAAAATGTGCCATGAAAGTTTGATATCTCTATATAGACCAATGACAAGATGAAAATGTTGTGCTCTCCAAGAAAATTTCAGAAGTTCAATGGATAGATTGAAATTTTTATGTCGTTCGTTGAGAATTTACTCAATTGATGTCATTCATTGGGATTTACTCCAGCTACAGTACAAGAGATGCTATATAAACAGAAATCAGAAGCAAAATTCTATAAGCTATTTTAATTAAATACATAAGTATGTGTATTAGAGTCATGTTTAAATAATTGGGCTGAAAATTGTAAATTTGCCAGTAGTCTCTCTCCCCATTGAGTGAGCTAATCCAACTCAAGTTTCAATTTATGTTTGTATTTGCTTCGTATACTCTGTTTAAATAAGCTCTCCAAATGATTTACACAAACCTGGCATCAATATGTTAACCTTTCTTACTAGTATTGTTTTGAGTAATTACGTTTAAGATATTATTATAATTTATTAGATATTTTAGTGCTTAATGGATTGCAATTTTACCAATGAAAGATTTATTCGTTTGAAGCAATGACTGATCAGTCACGTTCAATGGTCGATTAACATTTTTAACGGTTACATATAACTTGATGATTACAGCAAGTAAAACCAGATTGACCATTACGAGAAGTGCACGCATTCACATCGCTGCATTTTTTCAATTGACCAGTTTCTTAGGAATTCTAAAATCGAACAAAAAGATTGTTAACTGTAGTTTGCAGATTTTTTCTCTTGAATAAAAATGATGAAGAAACCACTTATAATATTTACGAATCTAGTTGATCTAGAAGAAATGTGATTTCCAAAGTTGCCCATATGCAATATGGACTACCAATGGTCTATGACAACTTTCAAGGCGTCACCAAAAATAAACTTGTGGTGTTCATGACTTTTTTCTTATTAATATGAGATATATTATATTTATGTTGCTCAAGAGCGATTTAGTGATTTATTTCTATAATTCAGATATTGTTTCCCTGGATCCTTTATCCTTTGCCCCAGACACGAAGCGGTCGTTCAACCCCGTCGACATGGGGTCTCTCACTCGCGTTCATTCATAAGCGCATAAACCAAAATCAAACGGTGATTGTCTTTTTCGCCCGCCGGGCAAGAAAGAAGTAATAAAAGTAGCATTTGCCATTAACGGTCTCTACTTAAGCAACAGCATAACGATTTCCAAATAGCTCTTATTGTTTGAAATGAATTTCTAAGGAAAGTTAGTAAAACTTGCTTATTACATTTGCGCGACGGAAGAACCGCACATGTTGAGCACAGATTAAGTTATTACTGTGACATAATTGTAAGAGGTAAAGAATTAGATGGATTTATTATTTCTTAGAGTATTGTGGTATAGAAATCGTAAGCGGATTATTTTTGCTGTTGCATCGATATCATTATAACGACAATTGATGTATGCACAGTTTGACTGACGCAAATTCCTTGTACGAGGTGCATTCGACAATAAATTTGCCTTGTATCAAGTTTACAAGTGTTAACATAAAATTAATTAAACTCATCACGTTGATAAATGTCACGCTTTATTTATTATTATTTTTTATATTTTCTCCTCAACATCCTTATAAACTTCATTCATTTTAGATTCAGATTTTGTCGTATCAATTATCATTTTTTTAGTGATGGCGCATTTAAAGGTTTGAAATAATACTTTTATCACGTTTCTTCTTTATTACTTGTGAATATAACTAATTAAAAGGGATCGTAAATATATCATTAATTAGGTTCTGCTCAGTAGAAGTACTTTAAGTAGAGGAAGGAATTCAATTAAAATTTTCTGTCTTCATTTTTGAATGTGAGCTATATGAAAGACGCGTTCGTTTAGCAAATTGAAATATTAAAATAGAAAAGAATTTCCTTTTCGGAATGGTGATTTTAATTTTCTTGCAAAAATTTATTGGGCCTTGCTTTATCTATTTTAATATCTATTTA